GCAGCAAAGGAAACAGCTTTGCACGGAGCAAAACACCCCGTCCGCATCGCGCAGGCGGGAGCAGCCCCGTGAGCCGCATGGGACCACCGGGATGCGGGTCCGTGTCCCCCGCGCCGCTCCCGGTGCCCACGAGGCTCCGCATCCATTAGCGGGGGAAGTTCAAAGCAGAAAGGCAACAATTTCCCTCCCACTTAATTTGTCCCAGTCCAGCGTGACAGAAAATGAATAAAAGATATTTATCCCTCGCTGCAGGATTTTAATTGTCACTAATCTAATTGCTACTCTAGCTGACTGCGCAACGTTTCTGCTCATTAAGGCACCGCCGCTTCGCCGGGGCTGCCGGCACTCTCGCTTCCCGGAGCGATTCCCAGGAAGGACTTCACCACCAGGCTCCGCGGTGTCCCGGTTCCTTCCCTGCCACCCGGAGACGTTTGGTGGCTCCTGGGAGTTGCCCCTCACTCACCGCCTGCAGTGACGGGTTCCAGGGCACCCGGGTGGCCGCTGGGGGACGGGGGCTGCGGATCCAGCGTCCCGGCCGTGGTGCCCAGGCCTGGGGGAGCTTCCTGGGCCTTGGAGCGGGGAGCCAGGGTGCCCACCTCGATCTGCAAGTCAAAGAGCGAGAGCTGCCCGGGAGAGGACCCTCTGCCAGCCCTGTCCTTCAGCCAGGGCAGGAGCCACCCAGGGACCCCCATCAAGCATCCAGGAGCACCAGGAAAGCTGGTTTCTGCTTGAACACCTCTTCTGAGCCAGGGCTTGGGAATTGCCCTTCCTGTTTATCCACTGGGAGACAGGAGCCATCGTGTCCTTTGGTCGCTCCCAATCTCCTGCAGCGATGCTCCTTTTACCGGCAATGATGCCAGCCACAGGATTGGGAGTGAAGAGGGACCTGGAGGAGGCCGGGGGCTTGGAAAAGCTGCCACCGGCACCGAGGGGGTGGACGAGGGACCCAGGTCCCTAAGCCAGGACAGGGGACGCGAGGCAGACTCGGGGCTCCAGCCGGGTGCAGGAGCCCCTTTCCCATCACGGGCAGCACATCCACCTCCATCCCTCGGGATGCTCCCAGGAAGGGCTGCCCCGTGCCCGGCACTCTCCCGCTCACCTTGGGAGCCAGATCGCCGTAGTCATAAAGCTCCTCGTAGTTGCTCAAGTCGACCATCTCACCGTAGTTGTCCAGCGGGAGGTCGTAGTTGTCCAGATCCAGGTTCTCGTAGGCAGTGGGATCATCCCCGGGCTTCTCCTCCTTCCTCGTGCCCTCGTCGGCCGGCGCTGCCCACGCGGCCATGAGCAGCAGGCTGGCGATGCCCAGCCCGGCCACGCGCCCCATCCTGCTCCTGCACGGAGAGCGGGATGGCCACGGAGCCCCTTCCCAAGGCGGGAAGACCCCCGGACCGACCCGGAGCGAGTATCCCCCCTGCTCCAGCCTCCGACCCGCCGTGCGCCGTGCCCACGACTCACCCCGGGCAGTGCCGAAGCTCGGTGGGCGCCGGGGGAAGCGGGCATGGAGGTTACCGCGCGGCCTGCTCGGGACGGGCCCGCCC